TACATACATACATACATACATACATACATACATACATACATACATACTTATAATATGTGGAAGAAGTGGCTTAACTAGCAGAAAAAGACATTCAGCAAAGTCAAACTTTGCATATGAAAATCTTTTCCAGCACTCCTCCTTTCTCAGGGAGATACAAATTACATTTTCCTTCCAAGGTATCCCGGATCGGATGATGCTGTAATGCTGTAAAAGATAACCTGGAACTTGTTTTAGATAAATAAAGCAATTCTAACTGACAATGTTTTTATGTGATCATATGATAATCTTTTGTTTGTTTTTTTTCAGCTAAAACAAACATAATGCTGTTATTTTTGTCAAACATCTGAGATAAAGTATCAGCCCTGAGATATCCTCCTGGTAAATTTAAGGCAAATGCAGATGCAAATGATTCTGATTTGTGTCCCTTCAGATGTGAACAACAAAACCTTTTGAATAAGGAATTGACGCAGGGTGTTCAAAGACACAAACGTATTTGAGATTTATTAAACTGAAGGTCCATCCTCCCTTGGCTGCCACCTTATCGTGGTGTAGGGGTTTCAGTGTCACAATGATTCTAGGAAGCTCCTGGTAACAAAATAAATACAAGTGATATTTTCTGTATAATTGGTGATAGACACACCAATAATGAATTAAATAGGTAGTAAACTAACCCAAAAGACCTTCCGCAAAGTCAAACTTTGCATATGAAAATCTTTTCCAGCACTGCCCATTTCTCAGAGGAGCTACAAATGACATTTTCCTTCCCAGGTATCCCAGATCAGATCGTCCTCCAGCAGCTGTTCACAGACCAGTGAGTATGTTTTCATGTCTCCATCATTTTGAGGAGTTAAGCTGAGCATCACTGCAGCGTTTGAAGTTAAACTGAAGGAAGGCAGGAAAAGGAAAGCCTCTCTAGATCAGACTGTGCTGAACTCTAAAGGAAAAAATGACTTTCAGACATTAATCTGAATATTAGTTTCAGCTATGATTGAAGAAAAACTTATTTTTATTCCCCTCCTCGCTTTTTGTCCTCAGCTGTCAGCTCTCAGTAATCGTTGTCCTCTGAATCCTCTCCTCTGGTTTCTCTCAGCCTTTTGCTTCAAACGCAGCAGCAGAGACCAGAAACATGTTGGTGGAGAAATCAGAGCAGAATTTCACAGTGGGACCCAAAACAGACCAAAATGAGAGAAAAAAAATTAATTAATTTGTCATTTTCAGGGGAGAAAAATACTGATTGAAAAAAGTCTTTAACTCCTTTTTTTGTTTTAAGTGAATAAAAGTCATGAAGATTTAAAGCTGGTCGAGTTCCCTTTAGAAAGCAATGAGACTATTATATGGATTTCTCTGGATAATTTGGAAATTCTGACATGATTATGATTTTTCTTATGAAAAAATGCTTTAATATTTCTTTCTTTTGTAGTTCAAACAAAGATGGATCTGTTCTTGACCCTGATAATTGTACTCTACTCTGGTAAGAGAACTTTCCTCTGTATGTTACACAGATTTAAGGTATTATCTTGTTTTCAGTATCTAACATTTATATATTCTGTATCTGTAACTTCTCCTCCATGAATATACAGGACTTCCCGTCAGCTCCTGCTCACAGCCCCCCCTTCGTCAGTACCACTATGTTCCCACAGAAATGAGCTGGACCGAAGCCCGACAGTTCTGCAGAGAGAAATACACCGACCTGGCCACCTTTGACAGCATGGATGACATCAGCAGGCTGAAAGCTGATTTCTCTTATTCCTGGGCCTGGATCGGACTCTGGGATGACCCTGAAAACTGGAAAACCTCCATGGGCAATGACACCAACTCTTGGAGGTGGTCAGCAACAGGAGAAACCAGCAGAACTGGGTACCAGATGTGGGGCTCTGGAGAACCAGATTACTGGGCCGCAAATGACACATGTGCAGCGATGCGTAATTATGGAATATGGATTGATAGGAACTGTGAAGACACAAAAGAATTCATCTGCTACAAGGGTAATGTCACACTTTTTTATTTTACAACGTGTTTGGTTTTATTAAAATCAACAAAGAGCCTTCAATCCATTTTCAGTTTCTCATGTTTGATCCAAACCTAAAGCATGAAAAATGAGGTCCTATTTCAGGTTTGTGTCTGACAGAAAAATGTATCACTCCCTTTTTTTCCTGCTTTCTAAAGTGGTTTATCTAAAGATTTGAGCAGCCAGTGAGGAGTTAGAAAACTTAAAGCTCAAATGGAGCAGTTTCACCAGACAATAGGTTTAAGTTTTTGTTCTGTCTTAGTTAGAAATGTACTCTCTCATGCAGACTGCAGCTCCCAGATCTGAGCATTTGTTGTTAATATCTGAGAGGAAAAACTGAACTCACTGTGGGTTATTTTCTGCTGCAGTTTCAGAGAACAA